TATCTTAACAAAAACCTTCAATACAGACACATAAGCCTCATAAGCGTCACTAAAATCACAATACGGTGTATTTTGAAAGATGATTTACATTTGTTTCCGGATAGCACAACAATTTTGGCGACAGACGATCCACGTCGCATGGATTACGGCTAAACATTCCAAACAGGCCAACGAAAATTGCCAGTACGTCTGCTGTCAAAATGAGGCGATATTGATTAGCCACCCGTCTGATTTAAAACCCCCGGACTTCTTTTTGTGGGGCCTTCTAAAAAGTAAGGTTTACGCCAACAAGTCTCAGAGTATAGACCAGCTTAAGGCAAACAATCGTGCCGAAATCAACTCTATAACACCCGAGATGCTCGAAGAAGTAATGGCAAACGCAGAAAAAAGAGCGCAATTTGTAATTTTTAATAGATGCGTCCACCTAATTGATATTGATATATATTTTATTCTGATGTATCAATAAGCAAATCAGCCTGCGACCTCTGTTAAATTGTAACGAATGGAGCCTGACTATGGTTGTCATGCCGGATTAGATTAGAAATATCTAATCTTGGCTGGGAGTTGTTTGGAGCAACACGTTAAATCACCAATTCAATAAAGTTTCTCTGTATGCGGAATCTCGAGCGGAGGCCTCCCAGTAGCAGGAACGTCTCCAGTAAATCTCAGATCAGCTCCAATCCAATCTGCAGGCATAACTATCTTCGTCAAGTAGCCTCCACATCAGCGAAGAAATGGCCAGCAACGAGTAGGAGCTGACCATTAAGACCTATGCCTGCGGCCAGAAGATGCAGCAGAAGGAGCGCGAGATGCTGGATCTCCGGCAATGGCTGCACGCCAGTCAAGAAGCTCTAGCCAAGCTGAAAGGCGAATCGCAGCAGTCCAGCATCTAAAGGAGGATCTGTCCAAGATCCAGTCGGACCAATAGCAATTGAGCAGCGGCACCCAGGAGACCATCAGGGAGCTGAAGGAGCGTCTAGAAATTACCAACACGGACCTCCAGCACAACGAGAAAATGGCCCTTAAAGATGCACAAAAGATCAGCGACCTAAAGACCCAGGTGGAGGCCATTCCGGTGGCCAATGCCAATGCCCATCTTCAAGCGGTTCGAAATGAAGGCGGACACTGAAGGATTTCACAATATTAATTTGGTGCTGTTTTATAATCCACAAAGCAAGAAAGGATTATCCCCGAAGCTATAGAAAAATTGGGAGGGCCCTTATACAATCATAGAACGAATCAATGATGACACAACCGAAGAGCTCTCGAGAGACTGGCACCTTACCATGGAGGAGACTTGGAACTTGTTCGGGACGAAAAAGAACTGAAAAACATTTCAGACTAAAACTAAAAGCATTATGTTACAGCTCATAGTCCAAATCGCGCCGCTAGTTGGCTTTATTAGTTTTAATTTTTCTCGAAAATCGTTTTCTGTATCGGTTATTGGTCTATTCAATCTATTAAACCGATTTCTTTCAAATTGTAAATACTGTTATACACATTAATCGTCCCTAGCAGAATCAATTACTTTTAATAATATTATCTTATTTAAAAAAAAACAATTTCCAAGCAAAAATAATGAGAATGTGGAACAATTTCTTCAAAAGTCCACCATTTTGTTATACCCGGTACTCGAAGAGTATTGGGATACATTAGATTTGTGTAACACCGAGAAGGAAGCGTTTTGGATCCCATAAAGTATATATCTTCTTGATCAGCATCAATAGCCAAATCGATGTAGCCATGTCTGTCTGTCCGTCCCGATGAGCGCCTAGATCTCAGAGACTGTAAGAGATAGAAAAGTACAGTTTTTTTTTTTTCCCGACTCCTATGATATCGCACTGTTAAAAGTGTATTTCTAAATTTTCAACTGCTCCCCCGAAGGACGAAAATCTGTGGCATTTCTTAAGATATGCGAAACCGCAGAATCGTAGAGAATACCCATATTTACTAGAATGCAAAATCTCAATCAAATCGAATCGTTATTACAGCCAGAAGGAACAAATGAAATTGCAGTGACTTCGAGGGCGTAGCCACACGCTTAGAGGCTATTCACACTGACGACCATCCACCATCCAGTTGGGGGATGGTGCGTAATAGGCTAATCACACTGACGGCCATCCACAATCCGTAAGGTTTTTCCATTCCGTAAACTTCCCATTTATTCTACCATCCATCTGGGATGTTCCTAAACCACACGATTCTATGCGATATTCAGCAGTTCGAATTTTAAAGCGTTGAGTCCTAAAAACAGAAAAAAATACAACAGACACAATTCAAAATGGAGATACCCGAAATTGGTGGTAATAAGTAAGCATACATACATATGTATTTGCTTTATTTTTGTATTATTAGTATTTTGCACCCATTAAATAAACAAACAATACACGCAAGTTGAAATGGCCTGCATATATTGAAAATATCTCTATAAAAAGTTGGCATGATTGATTTGCGGAGGTCCCGAAATAATTCCGTTAATGTCGACCGGACAGATCAAACTGCGGCTCTAGTATTATTTCTGCAAACAAGGTGCCACACCAAAGTGGATTAAGCTGTGAAATCTTCTGGAGATTGATTGATGTCCAGCAGGAGCAGCAGAAATTACAGGATGAGCACCAGGAAACAAAGCGGGAGGTACTTTAGAAAACTGCGAGCAGCCAAGGCCAAATCAACGTCCAAACAAAGCTGCTGCAATTTTTAAGGGAGTCCAAAGAGTAACGTTTATTGTACATTTATGGATTGTTTTCTTATAGTCATTAATATATAATTTATATTATATAATTTAAAATGGTGAACTCTTCACAATTCAAACCAAAAATTTATATTTTTATGCTCATCAGCTGCTTTGGCGGATGGTAGATGGTGGATGGTGCGAGTGTAAATCGGGGGTTCACATCCGTCATAAAAAATCCCACCGTTCCCCCGGGATGTGTTTAGTGTGCATAGTCTATAATAGGCTATTTGCACTGACTTGAGTTACCTATCGATAGTTAAGCTAATTCAATAATAGGCTCTGCACACTGAGCCCATCCCGGAGGAACGGTGGGATTTTTTGATGGATGTGAAACTCCGATTCACACGGGCATTATCCACCATCCGTCAAAAATAGCTGATGCCGACAAGTACACAATAGTTTTGCGCGGAAGATTTATAAATTTTTTTTTCTTAAAATGGATAATGAAATCAATTATCTTGGTTGTGGTTCAACAGCAAAATATTTTTTTGCATCAACTAATAATGTTGTTGCAAATGAATGATGATGAAGATGATGAATTTAACTTTGACGAGGATGAGATGATTTACTGGGCATCTGCCCTAAAAAACAGAAGCCAGGAAGGTTGTGGTCGTTTGTGAGTACTTCTTCTACTAACTTCCACCAAAGTTTAAAGTGTAAGGACATATTGTATGTTTTTACAAGCGGTTCGGGACATTTTGGGAGAAAGATGTACCTGAAAACAACGAGGAGTTTGTCAAAGAGAGTTTTCGAATAGAGAGGCCGTGCTTTGAGATTTTAGTTAATCGGCTGCAATTGCTTGGGAAGAAGGATACAAACTGCCGAGCTGCAATCGCAGCACATCGCCATTGCACTACACCCGTTGGGCTCGTCCTTTGAGTACAGAACAGTTGGCAGGCTTTTCGGTGTGGCTCCAAACGGTGAGTGCAATATCCTGAACGAGTTCTGCAGAGCACTTATCGGCGAGTTTTTGGAGGATTACATTTCGCCCAATTACCTAACATCCGAAAAAATTGATGAGTTCGTGAAGGGATTCCAGGCAATTGGGTTTCCTCAGAGCCTAGGTGCAATTGGTAAGAAATCAATAGGAACTTCCGTAATATATTTACATAAAAACTGGTTTTTAAACTTCCTTTTTATTCTAGATGGATGCCACATCGAAATAAAACTACCAGCAGCTGAGGCAGTGGACCACCATAACTATAAGGGCTGCTATTACACAGTCTTGTTTGCCCTTTTTATCAAGTTGGTTGAATGTCAGAAATTATTTAAATTCGATTCTTTTTAGATACAGATTTACATATGTAAATATCGGGTCCGCAGGAAGGTGCAATGACTCGATGATATACCAGAAGACAAGCCTTGCAAAGCGTATCGAAGCATCGGCATTAGTTCCAGAGAAAGCGAAGGAAATATGCGGAGTAAACCTCCCTGTAATGCTTATGCTTACTGCCAGATGTCGATTAGCAGGTTCTCTAGTGCAGCGGTCAATTTCAACCTGCTGCCAGCTGTTCTCGTATATGCTACATTGTGTATTAATGTTACATATTATAATCGAATTAATAAATAACAAATATATATATCAAACGTACCACTGCTGGAGGAATTTTCTGATGATTCTTCGATTTTTTATTTATTTATAAACTTTACGCTATTTTGTTCTGTCTTCTGCTGCTGTTATTGCTGTTGTTTTTTGTTAATTTTGTCACAATCACTGTTTACCTTTACGCAGTGAATACCATTTTTTTCGTTGTGAAGGAAAATTATTCAGAGTTGCATTTGAAAACAATGGACTAACTATCGCGTAGAAACGTGCGGTTTAGGAACATCAAAATTGGATGGGGGAACTAACTGGGACATTTTCGGAACGGCAAAACCTTAATGACCATCCCCGAAATGGATGGTGGATGGTCGTCAGTGTGAATAGCCTATTGGCGCTACATTTTAAAACTATCGGCTAAATGTCGCATAGAAACGTGCGGTTTAGGAACATCCCAGATGGATGGTGGAACAACTGGGACATTGTCGGAACGGTAAAACCGTACGGACCATCCCAGAAATGGATGGTTAATTATTAAAATAGTTGACTTACTGATAAAATTAGTTTAAAGTATTTTTTATAGGATTATATGCCTATTTTCATTTTTTTCTCTCAACCATCATTTTTACGCATTCATAATTTAACTATTAGTTAGAGGTTAGAAGCGGCTTCCCACGTATTTTTATACGTATACAAATTAAAATTTTGAGGAGATGGTGTACTTACCATACATTTTTCCCTCGTCCGACAAAATAATTTTTCTACGTCCACATGGTGGATATATAGATAATGCCTCTTGAAAGCTCTGTTCAATATCTGGACTCCAAACGCCCTCAGCATCGGCAGACGATAAATCCTTTTCATCCTGTCAAACAAACATAATAAGATATGGTTACGAATAAAATGTTGGGACCATCAGATCTCATTAATGATTTCAAGAACGGTCATGTACTGGTTTCCACTTGGTCAATGTACAATTGGTTAATATTCTTTATTTTAGCCATTAATAGAGATGACAAGTAAAGATTTCAGAGGATGAAAAATCGAGAAAATCTGGGGCTTTTTAAACGACTTCTCTCCTTACTCACAATTGCAAAAATTTCCAGACTCAATAAAAATTTCACTTTTTGTTGTCAAAATGACGAGAGTTGAGCACAGCTCTCACATCTGACGAGAGGACACGGAAATAAATGGATTTGAAAATGATGTAGAGTTGAAACAATTACAAAATATCAAACCTGTAACCATCAAATAGCCAAATGGTCGTTTCTTCAAATGGAGCTTTTTAATATATCGTAAGGAAAAATGTCTCCCAACTTTTGGGTTTCTCTCAGAATTTTGTTGACTTAGCTAGTAACTCTTGCCAGCGGGCAGCGAAAATTTTGAAAATTTAAGTTTATTAAGACGTACCTGACGTCTATTATGTCGCAGGACAGATTAAACCCTTTGGCTGTCTTATCTATCTATCTATTGTAATCACAAACTTGATTAAAAATGTATTTTTTAAATCCTACAAATTCTTATCGCCCTCGTCTGTACGCACAGGACGTCAAAACACCTAAAGCCGGCGCTGCTTCAATATCATATTATTTTCTTGTTGTAAATTATGTGAGGGGTTTAATTTGGGTTCTTACATCGCTCATATCACCAACATCCAAGTTTTTACTATCCACCATACTTCCATTTGTGTCTGCCGAACCTAGTGCACCTGGAGGACCGGCATTCACTGGGGTCCACGGAGATGGTATGGTGCCGGGTCCGACTGTAATGGAAAAATAGTTGAAATCAACAATTTATTACTGGAAAAAATAGCTACTAAACAATTTATTGTTTGTATATAATTAAGTTTTTCTTTAACCTGTCGACCAAATAAAATATTTTATGCTCTCTGCTTTAGCCAGTACTCAAGTACTTCAGTACATGTATCACTGAATTTATTTTATTTATTAAGATAAAGATCTGTCATCCGTCCAAGTTAAAGACGGACCCACAATATATGTATATTCAAGCTGATCACGGAAATCAACCTAGTTGGATAAAGTCCCTTAAAAAAAACACAAAAGCAATATACAAATGCCGATAGCACCGAACTCACCAGATAATGCCTTGAATTCCTCAAGGGAATCCAAGTGGTTAGAGAACGGCGCCAACTTAAAGCCGTTTTCTTAATTTAAAAAAAACTTGTAATTAGAAGTTATATATTTCAATTATTTCCAATTCTTATAAATATATGTATAATTCAACTGTGGAGTTTTTTTGGCGGTTATTAAGAGATACCATTTCGCTAAAACGCATGTGACATTATGGGGTTTTTTTTTTTTTTTTGGTCCTGCTTTATTATGGCTATCAGCATTTTTAGGATTGTGCGGATAATCGAGGCAAGAAATTTTGATAAAATTTCTTTTTTCACAGAGATAGAATTTACACACACAGAACAGGGAAACCAGAACGCGTCTGTTTAGGGGAAACTCGTTTCTTAAACTGAATTTCCACTAATTTTTGTTATTTGTTTGGCCCGCTCGTTTGCCTTGGTCTATTCCTGTTCCTGCTCACCCCATATTGCTAAAGAGTACAAGGGATGGTTCTGGTTTTCTGTGAAACACAAAATAGGATGCAGCGCACATTTAAGGGAAGGGAATGCCGTCAAAATGCCGAGTGTGACGGCAACTGCGTGAACACATAGTTGATATTGGGAAGGAAGCAAATGCCAAGCAAAACGGATGGCATGACTTCAAAAAGTTTTCGGTTAGAAGCCACCAACGATCTATCGATCGGGGAATAAGCATACCCGACACGACTCTATTCATATCCCAACTGTACTCCTTTGGCTCTACTATCTACCAAAACACCAAGTTCATAATCTCTTGACGGCAAAGCAAAGGAAACTATTTAAAGCATATTGCACGGCACTACCAGAAGTTAGGGGTTGCTTCCTGTTTCTCACTTTAGGGGTGACTGCCATTTTCCATAATCTTGCAAAGACCTCAATATAATTTCCAATTGGAATTTAAGGCTCGGACTGGACCTCAGACAGCCTATACTGGCAATGCCATTAAACTTGACTGAAAGACATGGGTTTAGAGAGCGACACAACGAAATATGTATTTTCTTCTTGGTGGTTAATTGGTTCACCAACACACACCGCAGTCAATTCCAGTAGATTGAAAGTACAATTCTACTACCAGTTAGACTAACAAAGCAAATGACAGCATATACTCCCCTCGCTCGCACTGCCAACTTTACCCATTACGACTTTATTGCTGCTCACAGCAACCGACCACTTCCAAACGAACCTGCTTGATGGCTCTACTCTGCGAGATTCTGGTGCTCACACAGAATCAGTTAAGAAAACTGCACACCTTAATATAATTAATCAGAACGAAAATAACATACATACATAAATGGGCATTTCCTCAGTCACTCACACGACTGTCGGAAGCAAAAAAAAATTTAAATGTTAAATAAATCAAAGGAATTAAGTTTTTTACACTTTACCACTAATCATTTTTTGCAGTATTTTGAGAGTACTCAACAATGGTAAACAAAATTGAGAGCCTCCGGTTTTTATCTTTTGAGATAAAAGCCACAAAAGAGCGGTCACTCACGTGACTTCAAATAGACATGGATTTGGACATCAATGCTAATATCCGGCAAACTCTTCGAATTGTGTGGCAATTTTGAACATTAAATATTTTTTATAGAAATAAGAAATATGAAGCTACATATATAATAAGACTTATGATTTTTAAAAATTTGGCCTGTCCTTTTTTGCGAAGGATTCTTCTGGGTCACTCAAGCGACATTTTTTCCAATGCAGTTTTGTGTGCAGTTATATATATAATAATAGTCACTACATAAATAAATAAAAATATATATGTATATGTACATAATTAATTAATATAACATATTGGAGAATAAGCGGTGCGCGCTATTTTTATTTATCTATCATATTCTCTCTTTCTTTTTAACTTGCTCTCGACTTCTATTGTATTCTCTCGCAACTTTATTCTGTACTTTGGGGAATTTGTTATACCCGATATTCAAAATGAGTATTGGGGTATATTAGATTTTTGGAGAAAATGGATGTATGTAACGTCCAGAAGGAATCGTTTTCGACCCCATAAAGTATATATATTCTTGATCAGCATCAATAGCCGAGTCGATTGAGCCCTGTCTGTCTGTCCGTCCGTCCGTCCGTCCCATAAGAGCTAGAGAAACGACATTTTATATCTGGACTTCTGTGATACGTCACTATTACAAGTATATTTCAAAACTTTGCCCCACCCCCTTCCGCCCCCATAAAGGACGAAAATCCGTTGCATCCACAATATTGCAGATTCGAGAAAACTAAAAACGCAGAATCATAGATAATGACCACATCTATCAGATTGCTGAATCTGGATCAGATCGGATCATTTTTGTAACCAAAAGGAACCAATCTATTTTCAGTGGCTACGCAGCGCCCGACGACACGTTCAGACTGATTTTCTGTCTCTCTCGCACGCATTCTTTGTCGTGTCGCTTAATATTAGCGGCGTCTGCCGGAGGAGAGCCATACTGACTTAGTATCGGGTATAAATGTAGAGTTGCGGTGTCCGCAGCAACTCACAACGTTCCCCCTGGTTTTTATTAATATTTTGTTGATCCATCTAAATTTTAATTGAAAAAAAGCTAACAATAACTAAGCAACAATACTTTTTTTTTTTAGAAGGATTTGCACTTGCGGTCACTCACACGAAAAACTTTCGCAATGTAAAAAAATTTTATTTTAAATATTTTATACTGATTGTTGAACCAATCTTAAGGAAACTACAAATCTGTCAACTATTATCATTAAATGCCAAAGTTTTGACAACTTATGCTGTTTTTCGGTCACTCACGCGACAAAACAAGATCAGATTAAAGATTAGCCCAAATACGGTTAATTCGTGCTCTGTTGTCTCTCTTTGTAATTTTTACCGTAACTTCACTTATCTAATTACAATTAAAGAAGATAAGCTCTACGGTAAAATAACGCAAAATGTAGTAAATATTTTAACGAAATAAGCCCACAAAACGTGCAAGTATGTACATATATACAGTCTCAACTTTTCCTACAATCATTTTTTACATATGTACATATGAACTTTTATTCACTATTTTAACACAAAACGAGGGGGAACGCTGTGAGTTGCTGCGTACACCGCAACCCTACAGTTATACCCGATACTAAGTCAGTATGGCTCTCCTCCGGCAGACGCCGCTAATATTAAGCGACACGACAAAGAATGCGTGCGAGAGAGACAGAAAATCAGTCTGAACGTGTCGTCGGGCGCTGCGTAGCCACTGAAAATAGATTGGTTCCTTTTGGTTACAAAAATGATCCGATCTGATCCAGATTCAGCAACCTGATAGATATGATCATTATCTATGATTCTGCGTTTTTAGTTTTCTCGTATCTTCAAAATTGTGGATGCCACAGATTTGCGTCCTTTGTGGGGGCGGAAGTGGGCGGGGCAAAGTTTTGAAATATACTTGTAGCAGTGACATATCACAGAAGTCTGGATCCAAAACATCGTTGCTCTAGCTCTTATAGTCTTTGAGCACTAGGCGCTAATAGGGACGGACAGACGGACGGACAGACAGACAGGACTCAATCGACTCGGCTATTGATGCTGATCAAGAATATATATACTTTATGGGGTCGGAAACGATTCCTTCTGGACGTTACACACATCCATTTTCACCACAAATATTGATATACCCCAATACTCATTTTGAGTATCGGGTATAAAAATATAAAATTTCAATACTTATTAATAATGTATAATGGAAAACAGCAAGTTCTGCGGTACTTTTTTTTGCGACTCTTGGTTTTCGCGGAAATGCCCACATACATACATACATACACATGTAACCTTAAATTAGAATAAAAGATTATATAATGACATTAGTTCTTGTTTGAACAAACCCAAACCAATGTGACATCTAGTGACTAGTGGAAAATTATATGCCCCTTGCTAGTACCACTAGGAACGCCAAAATAAATAAATACTTTCTAAAATTAAATAAATAAAATAATATATAATAATAATAATAATAATAATAAATAAACAAATTGTCTTCCGATTTTGATTGTAAATGGCACCAGACAAGTTAAAACAGTGAGACAAGATATAAAAACCTTATGGGAAAAGCAAGCAGTCTGAGCGAGATACCGACAGAATTATAGTTTGAAAGTATAAGTATATTCGGTCGAAAACATCGTTTCGACACAAATAGTGCTACAGTTCTTCGAGTGAGATCTATGGAGACGTCGTCGATCAACACTAATTCATCGTTCTATCTTATGCTCTTTCTGACTAGCTGTCTAGATTGTACTATCTATATCTTCTTCTTGTCCGGGTCGAATTTCATCGTAACGTACTGCGAAAACGACATGCGCCCATCTCTACTCCCAGCTGATTATGCTGAGGTTGGGAATTAATAGGGGAATGTGTGTCCTTGTCGCTAGTATTCTATTTCTACCCTTACCAATCGCATTTTTGTTGTCGTTGTTGTATTTCAATTGGATTGTATGGTATACATTCTACTTTTTATTTTCCTTTTACATATAAACGCTTAGTCACATATGTAAATACATATGCAAGTATGTATGTATGTTTTGTATGAATGTTTGTTTGAAAGTACATACATATGTATATATGTATGCATGTATGCATGATGAAGCCCCTTCATGTGATTTTGCATAGCTGTGTACTGGGTCCAGAAGACTTAGATATA